AACAAAATAAGTTACTTCAAGAATACCAATTCATAACAATTGATTTTGTTAGTTTTCTTAACTACTACAAATTTAGAGAAATATTGAATTAAATTGTACATTAATTACAGAGAAAAGTATACATTTAATTAGTTGACTAAAAACTTTTTGTCATCGAATTGACAAATTTTATGTTTTTTTTTTTCATGTAAGATAACCTTCTACTTTTACTTAACAAAAAAAAAAGAAGGAAAAAAATCAGCCCAAAATAAAAATTCCTTAATAAAAAATAAAAAATAAAAGTTTCTCATTGGATTCGCTTGTTATTCCTGATTTACTTGGAAACAAAAGGGGGACGAAAGGACATAGGAAGCAGGTCATCAAAGATCCCATTTCGAAGGGTTAGGAATAATTTATTACTACCATATAGTGTAATATATCAACAAAAATTCGACAAAATTAATATTCATTAATTAAAAATTTTTTATTTAACATCAAAGCAAAAGTTCAAACCTTTTTGACTTTAAAAAATATATATATAATACAGTATTTTCTAAAATTTCCTCCAGATAATTTTGAATTTAATTTTAGATTTAATATACTCCTCTAATTTTTTTTTTTTTTTGGTTTTTTACTCAGTATCCGGGATTTCATCCCGACTAATCCAGACTTGACCTGCGTCATGCACCTAAAAATAATAGGTGAGTTTCTCAGCAGAAACTGCTGTATACACAAAATTTCAAATTCAATATCTTATTTAAACTAAAATAAATCACTTACTACTTGATTCAACTCCTCGTGAGCATGTACTCCTCTGATTAAGGAAACGCAATCAAATCCTGCCCCGCAATCTCCGCCGTTCACCGTGACTTCGTGACCAAAGTAATGAAGGTCTCAACTATCCCCACCACCACGTCATCCCTCCAATCCCAACGCGACACGTACGCGTCCACCTAGATCGACGTAAATATCTCGTTTTCCACGGTTTTGATTTTCTTACGCAAGCAACTGTACTTGAAAATTTTGGCGGCAATCCGGACAATTTCAAATGAACAGTAAACCCTAGCGGCCCCCCGACCCCAACTTCTTGGGCCTCATTTCTTCCCTCTCTTTCTCCCATCTTCTTCATTTTCTTTTTTTTTTTTTTGGTTTCTCTCTTCCTTGACCTCTCTCTTCCATAATCTTGCTCTGTGATTTTTAGGGTTTTCCGCGCTGGAATCTTTGTTAATTTAAGGTTTTGTAACATCGTCTCCTACATTTTCTTATAATTTCGCATTTTCTTTGATTACATTTCATTCTTAGTTTGGATTCCGCTTGAGTTATGATAGCCCTGCTTCCGATCTTGTTTCGTTTAATTTGGTTTCTATATTCTTGTAATTTTGATTTTTATATTCTTGTAGTATTCAATAATTCGTGATTAGAGTTTGGAGAAAAGCTGAATCTGTTTTTATTTATTTATTCATTGAACTTAAATAGAAGCTATTGAACTCCATTTCAGGTTCTATTTATCTGGAATTGGAGGCAGGGTCGGAAATAAAAGGGGTAAAAGTTGTTGCTGTTGAGGAAGAAAGCAAAAATCTTGGAGGAACAGGTGGAAATAATGGGGAAAGTGTTTCGGGAGGAGAGGCCAACGGAAGCATCTAAACATAGAAGGAGATTGAAGAGTTCAAATAAGTATCTGAAACCTGGTGCTCTTGCTCGGTATGGTAAAGCTGCGGAGGCCAAGTTGTGTACTGATCTTGGAAAGAAGAGGGTGGCGGTTGTGGGTGCAAAGAAGGCTGCCGACAACAGGGGTTTTCTGTCTGACAATAAACGAAATGAAAAAAGTCCTTTGATGTTGTCACCAGTGGATTTGCTTAAACAGAATAGTTTTGAGAGAACGCCGAAGACTCCTCGATCTGATGGCTCTGAATCAGAGTCTCGGCTGGAGTCTCTCCCCATGGATTTGTTGGTATGGTTTGTAATCCTCCTTGTTTTGGTTTGGAGTTATAATTTTTATCTATTTCACAATGTTATATGTGTTTGAGGGGGATAGTTCTTTTGCTGGATTGGAACTTTAATACCATAACTGCTACTTTGAGCTTTTCTTTTCCTTGTAATTTTGTTCTCCTTATTATTGGGAACTGAAGCAGAACTGAATCCTGTATTGTTTTGGTGTATTTATAGGTGAAAATACTTTGTCACTCACACCATGATCAACTGAGAGCTGTTTTTCATGTTTCTCAGAAGATACGAAAGGCTGTAAGTTTGTTTTTGTGTCTTGTTCCTGCTTGATTTGTCTGTGTGCGTTTGATCATTTGCATTTTCTGGCTGCAGGTTTGCATTGCGAGGCAATTTCACTTTAATTACACGACCCCTGATCGCCCTAGACAGGAGATGCTTAGATTAAAGACACCGCAGCCAACAGATCACTGGCCTTTTGCAAGGTAGATAACAAAAGTCAAAACCTTTTAGTTCTTCCCCGGTTTTTGTTTAAAACTAAATATAAGTTCTTATATGCCTTTCTAATTATTTCTTTTATAATCATTTGCAGCAAGGGTGATGGCAATGGTATATTCATTTCTAGCCCACATACTCCTAAAGCTCCAAGGCACGGTCCAAGGCCACCTTCTCGTCTTAAGGCCACTGAGTTGAGACAAGTTTCTGCTAAGCTCTTCCAAGATTCTGCTTTCCAATCTAGGTGCATGGTACCTTCTGTTCTCTCAAAGCCCTTATGCAAAGCTGTTCCTTCCAATCGTGTGCTATTCTGTGAGGATGAGTTATGCCAGGCTGTTGCTGAGAATAAGCTTCTCTGATTTATTTTCTTATTGTTTATCCTATCCCTCGTACTCATGTGTATAGCTCATTTCTTGTCATTATAGGTGATTGTAGTTAGGAGGTATGCAATTTTGTAGCTTTGGCTTTGCAATGGCAGAGTTATATGACGTAGAATTTCATATATATCTGCATTATTGATTCAAAGGTCATGATGGTGGCTTGCAATAATATTGTCTAGGACTGGTTACCCGTATATTTAGTAGACTACGGGTAACTCTTATACAGTTCCTTTCTGAATGTCTTTGATGCATTAGCTATCTGGTATTTGTAGGTAAGTCTTGTACGGTTCCTTCCATTTCGAACAATGCTTATGTAAATTTGTAACTGTCAGCAATCCTTGGATCATAGAAGTTCCTTGGTGTGTTGATTTAAGATCATAGTGGTAAGGATCTTGTAAGCCTTCTCCGAGGGATGGTAGCTGTCCCAAAACACGAATTTTGACACATCTGTGCAGGTTTGCTCATCGCTAGGATGGTTACACAGTATGCTCACTTCTATGTTGCCTGTGCCACAACAGCCTCTACTCACCTCTTCAAACCCTGAATCCAAAGACAATAAGATCCTCAATGTCTATTTTGCTGAATGTAAAATGTTTTGGAAATTTAAGTCAAACAAGAGTTGAATTAAAATCAATTCAGATGACGGGTAAGGTTAAATGTACCATATTGTTTGGGGTTTTGGATGATGGATAGAAGTGGGTTGTAGACATCTGCATAGACAATTTTGAAGCCTGGAAGACTGTTCTTGAGAGAATCCATCTGGGCAGAGAGCTTGGAGTTGTAGAGCAATGCTGCATGGTTTGATTTATTTGCACAGCCTCTTGTTAACCCTCCACCTAGTGTTCTTTGTGAAGGTACGCACCCAATTGGCGGCAGCCCCGCAGCTAAAACTCTCCTTGCTCCTAGCCCGTACAGTTCCTGCAACCAAATTAAGCTCATAACATCAGTTAGGATGGTCCTTCAGGCTAATGTAAAACTTATTTGAACGTCATTTTCTACACTTCTACCAAATATCATTGTATATACCTGGAAGAATTGTGATGCATAGTTGACTGCTAAGTCAGTGTATGAATCAATGTCATAGTGAGCGCTCCGGAGTGGAGTAGAAAAGTAAGTATTAGCAATATCATCACTTCCGCAGCAGACAAAGAACAGGGCTTTTGAAAGAAAAGTAACAGTTTGTTCGCCTCCTAATGCTGACGTTATCTTCTCCTTGTATTTTTTGAACAGCTCCAGTTGATCGGACAATGATAAAACATACTAAGAAAGAAAAATGAATACAAGCAGAAAAAGAATGAGTTAAACAAGAGGGGAAATGTTAGTTAAGTAGATTGTAAAGAAAGATTAAGTGCTTGTTTGGTGCAGATTGGGGGAAGAGTTTTTTGGCTCAAAAAGCACAAATTGCACCAAATGGGACAACTTCCCAAACTGGCTGCAGCTTTTGAGAAGCTCAACGTCTTGCCATTCCTTTGCAAAGCTCGGAAGCTCCCATTTCTTACTTTTGTGAGAGCTTTTCTCGCTTCTAATTTAATGAAATTGACATGATCTCCCCATTTTATTCTCACTTCTTTTTATTTACGAAAAAACTACTATATAAAGGATTAATTTATAACATCATACCAACCAGTCCCAGGCACATTCGTTTCTTCTTCCTCATCCAATCACAAAAACAAATCGAAAATACTCATCCAATCACAGAAACAAACCAAAAATACTTAACTATATTATTCTTCATCCAATCAAAGAAATAAACCGAAAATATTTACCGTATTCTTCCTTATTTTCTTTCCCCCTAAATCGAAAACCCCTTCAGCTTCTGTTCGAAGACGAACCCAGGAGCTGGGTTCGCGGCGAACCTCGCGCTTGGGTTCCGAGACAAATCCAGTGCCTGGGTTTGCGACGAACCCAGCGCCTGGGCTCTGCGACGAACCCAGGAGCTTGGTTTGTCTCGAACCAGGCGCGGGTTCGTCGCAAACCCCTCCCCTGGGTTCCGAGATGAACCCAGGTGCGAGTTCGTCGCAAACCCTTCCCCTAGGTTCCGAGACGAACCCAGGTGCGGGGTTCGTCGCGGAACCCAGGAGTTGGGTTCGAGACAAACCCAGGAGCTTGGTTCGAGACGAACCCAAGAGCTTGGTTC